AGGCACTTATGCACATGAGCACACATAGACATGTGTACACATGCACACACACTGTAGTTTTCTCCAGTCCTGCCTGGTCACGGTCAGGACAAATCTCTCTCACCCGACAGTCCCGCAGCCACTCAGACCCAACCGACTAAACACAGAGACTTATATTGCTTACAGACTATATGGTCATGGCAGGCTTCTTGTTATCTACTTCTTCTATCTTAAATTAACCCATTTCTATAAATCTATATCTTGCCACATGGCTCGTGGCTTACCAGTATCTTACACGTTGGTACTCATGGCAGTGGCTGGCAGCGTCTCCTGACTCAGCCTTCCTGTTCCCAGAATTCTCTTCTCTGCTTGTCCTGCCTATACTTCCTGCCTGGCTACTGGCCAATCAGCATTTTATTTATACAGAGTGATATCCACAGCACACACACAAATACAAAATGGTCTGATACCAGTTAAAATTCTCTGGTACTGAGAAATGTGTAGATGACATTCATATTATTTATTTTTCTATATATTTGAACAATGCCATAATAATCAGACTTTTTTCTTAATTATACAATTAATGCTACAGTTCTGGGATCTGGATCAGAACCAAAGTGCTAGAACTGTACATTGAGATGTGGACAGAAATTGTTGCCAGTTGCGGTGATCGGGCATGCCTTTTAATTCCAGCACTTGGAAGGCAGAGGCAGGTGGACGTCTGTGAGTTTAAGGTCAGCCTAGTCTAAACAGCAAGTCCAGGGACATCCAGGGTTACATACATGTCTCAAAAATCCAAAAGTAAATATCAGTGACATCTGGATCTTGTAAGAGCAAGATGTTCAATGATGCTAGGACATGTCACAAAAAAGTAGGTCCTATATGCCCGCTACAGACCAAAGCTGAGGTAGAAAAACCTCTTCTTTCTAGTCAATGCCTACTGAAACCTCTAAGCATATAGATCATCATAGAGACCAAGTGGTCTGAAAGCACAGAGCATGGGCTTCTCCATACCAGTGTCAGATGGCCTTGTCATAGGACATGAAGTTTTACATTTCTGAAATGGCTGATGTTATTATTTAATTTAGAAATGGGTGGGGTAGTGATGGCCCTTGCCTTTAATCCTAGCACTCAAGAGGCAGAGGCAGGTGGATCTCTGAGTTTAAGGCTGCCTGTTCTACAGAGTGAGATCCAGGATAGTCAGAGTTATCAGAGAAACTCTTGTCTCAGAGAGAGGGGCGGAAGAGCTCATGCTTACAAAAATTAAAGCTTTTTATTTTTGTAAGCATGACTATCTGGTAAATTGTGGCTTAGAACTGATTATCTGATTATATCTGATTATAAACCTTTTTTTTTTTTTTTAAGTATGGCTGAGTAGAACATACTGTGTTGGACTTTTAATCTAATTATATCTTCTATCTGCCATGTTATTACATGAAAAGAAGGTGGCTAACAATACTTTAATGACACACCAGATAGAAAAAGCTCACAAAATAAATCTCTTCCATTTCAATTAATATAGCTGTTCCTACCCTTTCCCCACTGTAAAAGAGGGAAAACATCTTCCCACCCTTAGTAGACAAAGCTAGTCATCTAGTGTGTTTGTAGAGAGCTAGTCCTCCAGCCATAGTCATAACATGGTGGTGCCCCCCACCCCCCACCTAGGCGTAGCCCTGAGAATGGCTTCTAGAGACAGTGGACTTATCAAGGGAGGGCACATTCTCAAAAAGCTTTTAGAGAGCTTGAACAGAGTTGCTTTTGTCTTCTGGAAGGAGCCCGGGCTGCAGAGAAAAGACAAAGCCCAGAGTATAAACTAAAGGAAACATAGACACAAAACAAGACCCGGCAAATGGGATTCAGTTGCAGACATAGTTCAGAAACAGTAAATCCATGTAGTGCTTTATATGGCGTGAGAAGATGGAGTTCCAAGGCACAGCATCCAAGCGCAGGAAATCTCTCTAGTTGGTTTATTGAACAGGTTCACTGCTCCTTCCGGCTTTGCTTTGTAAAACAGCAGAACCATGTCGTCTGTAAATCAGGGTCCTCCCCAGACCTTGCTAGTTTGGCTGTCCTGAAACTTGCAGATCTGGATTTGTGATTTGGTACCAGTTCCCTGGAAAATTCCACATGGTATTATCGGGAGAAGTTGGTAACAAGAACACAGAAGTACTTTGGTGCCTTCAAATGAAACAGTTCTTCCTACATAATTGTTTAATGTGTGCATAATTTATTATAGAAAATATAAAGTGGTATTAGCTAGCACTATTATTTTCAATGAAACTACTGGTCCACCCCCCCATGGTCCTTTCAAATCACATTCATATTTACCCAGTGGATTTTAAGCCTATTTTACTATGAGATTTCTCTGTAGTAGAATACAGTTGTTCACAGAGGACTAGGAAATACTTCTCAATTCTGAAACTTTTCCATTGATCAGAGTATTACTTACTACTGGTGTTGACTATACACAAAGCTGGGCTATAGTATGCCTTGTTCTTCAGATAAACATCATCCTAGAAACTTCCTTTCCATGAATTCATGACCAGGCATCAGCTTTTCTCTCATTTATTTCAAGTTACTTTCTCAGTAAGACTCCTGCTCTGCCTGGGTTCTCCCATCACATTGTACCTGGTCCCACAAACCTGGCGCTTGTACTGCCATTTAATCACTTCATTGTTCATTAACTTCAGTTTCTTTTAAAAATCTTTGTTAAAAAAAAGCACCTAGCACAAATAATTCATTCTCTGATGTTCCTAAGCTAAAATTCGCAGACTGCTTGAGGGGAAAATATATTCTTCACTTCTTTTAGTGACCTGCAGTCAGGCATCTCCATCTCTCTTCATTTTAGGGTATTTCCCATGGGCTGCTCTCTCTAAAATCAACAAAATCCACAAAACAATTCGGATAAGTTGCACTGAAATTCATGCATCCTTGGCCCTAGGGCCACATGAAGGATTCCCTGTGGGTTTCACTGACCCTCGTCACAGTCTCACAGGATGATGTCTCTCCTGGTGTCAGGAGTCTAGCCATGATGCTCCCAGCACTGGACTCACTCTTTATTACCAAGTGACCTTCTGACGTTGGTGTCTTGAGATTTCAAACCTCGTTATTTGTTCCCTTTCACCTTTTCCCTGGCCGGCCGTTCCTCCTCTTTGTGAAGCCCCCTTGTGTTTTCTTCCCTCTCCCGTTTCATTCAGCACATTTTCCATCAGTTTTTCCGACTGTCATCTGCAACTTCAAACACAGGCTTTTTGTCAACCACCTGAAAACATGGAAAGTCCCTTGACTGGGCCTAAAAGCTCTCTCCTCCAAGCCGCCAAACTTACGGAAACAGTAACGCACGCACACTCTCTCAGTTCTTACCATCTGTCCTCCTTTGACCTTTCTGTTCTGCTGGAACTGTGCAGTGATTCTGTAAAAGGTCACCTAGAGGTCCCTTCGTGTAACCTTGTTTTCCTCACTGACTTGGAAAACATTGTGTACACTGGGCACGTGCTGGATGTAAGAAGCAGCTCATCTGCTCTCTGTGAAAACCTCATCATTTAGTAAGAGACAGGTTGGGATGGAGGCCCAGCAGTTAGTTACACATAAGGAATTGGGGAGTATGAGAAGCAATGTCCAGTTTGGTGCTTTATTTACAAAGTTATAAAGGAAAGCTGAAACATCTCAAAGGAAAAAGGGCGTTCCGACAAGAGAAATGACAAGGGCCTCGGCATCACTTCCAGGAAGTAACTACGGGCTGCGGAGCTGGTCCCAGCCGGTGTGGTGATGCAAGTGAGGAAGAACATGGTGATGAGTCTTCTACATAAATTTACTTTTAAATTTTGATTGAAGTTTTTGTATGATGAGCTTGGGGCTGTGAGCAGAGTTTTGTGCTCTCAAGCAGGTTCTCACCAATGAATCTGCAGCTTTCAAAATAAGTTACAAATCTTGGTGTGCACCAGAGGATGACAGTGCTTTAATAGCAACCCAAGGAGATTATGAATTGTCTTTTGAGGGGTTCTAGTGTTAAAGGATTTGAGAACTACAGTGCTGTGCCCAGAGTTTCCAATCTGGCAAGCCCACTTTCTATATGCTGGGTTATATGTAGAGCAAGATTGTGGAAAGGAAATTATTCTAGAGAATCCAGACATGGATGGACAGTGCCCACCACAGGGACAGTGGGGAGAAAGGAGAGGGTGGATCAGAAATATTCAGAAAGCAAGATCTGGGGGCTGGAGAGACAGCTCAATAATTAAGAGTACTGACTGCTCTTCGAGAGGATCCTGGTTCATTTCCAAGCACCCACATGGCAGTTTGCAAATTGTCTACAACTCCAATCCCAGGGGATCTAACACCCGCTTCTAGCTTCCAAGGCCACCAGACACACGTATGGTACATAGACATACACTTAGTTAAAACACTCATTCACATTAAATAAACAAAAAATACTAATTTTTTAAAGCAATGTTTCTATTTTAGTCCATGCTTGCCTCCTAGCTTTAGTCCCTTGCAGGAGGCACTCTCCGAACAGGTCTCTGCAGGAGCCCTCCTGACTCCTTTCCTCCCTTGTAGAACTGAATGTCCTGTCTTGCATTGTGTATTTGTATACTTACCTTCTACGTTGTAAAGTCTCTTGAATTGTACTCTTGAGTGTTTGATCCCTTGTAGGAAGTACCTAACAGAAAACTACACATAGCATCCTAAAACTGACATGAATGTTGCTCCTAAAACATCCATGATGTCCTAAGAGCTTTGGGTGTTTATTCATTTAATTCTCACAGTAACCTTACAAGATGTTACTATAACCCCTTTTTTGGCTAAAAAGAACAACAACAACAACAACAACACAGCCCAATCAAGGCGGTCTGTCTCCAGAATCCTTGCTTTCCACCAGTATGCAAAGTGTCTCTACACTAGAGCCTAATTTTTCAAATTTAAAGGAATATATAAAATGTTCTAATCAAAACTGAATATGTTCTTTTTTTTAAAATTTGTGTGGCATTGCTAATAAACTTTCTGATTTTTAAAAATTCTTTTAGAACCAGTTCGAAGATACAAAACTTACCACAGTGATATCTTTAGTACCTCCAGTGAAAGTCCATCTATTATTTCTTCTGAATCAGATTTCAGACAAGGTAAGCATCACCTAAAGCAAGCAAATCTTTTTTAAGAAGCAATCATAACTATTTTTTAATATTATTTAAACAAAACTTGTCAAAATGTTAAGACTGTAAAATGTTTCCTTTTAAAATTGTTATATTAAATAATAGCAGTTTCATAAAATAGTGATATAATCATTTCATCATACAAGAAAGAAGTCATTGTCTTTAAAACTTAATGTGTCTAGCCAGGCATGGTGGTGCACACCTTTAATCCCAGAATTTGGGAGTCAGAGGCAAACAGATCTCTGTGAGTTCAAGGCCAGCCTGGTCTACATAACAAGTTAAAGGATGGCCAGGGTTACATAGAGAAACCCTGTCTCAAAAAGAAACAAGAAAATGAACAATAATAATAATAACAACAACACAGCTGATGTGACTTAACCTCAAAAGGATTTCATGGCAAGTCATTGATCACATGGTTGTGATTCATACAAGTTATCTTATTTCTACTAAGTGCCTGCGTTTTCGATAAGATTGCTTCCATATTTGTAGAACTTGTACCATTGTTGTGTTTTTATTCACAATTAGTGAGAAGAAGTGAAGCTTCCAAGAGGGTTGAGTCTAGCAGCGGTCTGTCTGGAGTGGAAGACGCTGGTCAGGGCCAGTCACAGAGACCAAGGTATGGCTCTGGGAAGCACTAATTTCTCGTCACAGGTGGTTGGTTTTGGTTCTCTTTAATTACAGTTGGCACTTGACTTTTTAAATTGCTGGTACAAATAGATAGAATGATCATGAAGGTTAAGGCATGGCATTAAAAGTCTGAAAACAGTAAACCTTTATTTCTAAAATGTAAATAGCAGTTGTCTGGACTTTGAAGGACTGGGGCAGCTCAGGTATTCAGTACAAATTGGTTGAGTGAATAATTAGATTACCACTCTGTAAGCTATTATGTAAAAAGTTAATTATTCGCTCACTAGTTAGCTTAAAGAGGTTCTCTGGCATATTTCTAAAGCCCATTTGAGCCACTGTGTAGCATCAGCTTCATGCTGAAGTAACTGGCAAATTTCTTAGGAGATGTTACTGTTTGAGTGGGCTAGATCTAGGGTAATTGTGTTACAGTTGTGTCTACTTTGTCTTGTTTAAACTGAAAGAATTTTCAAACAAGTAGTTAGTGTATTGGTATGTATCGCTGTCATGTGTACACAGTTGTCTTTCATGAACACAGAATGCTGATTTCAGATTTGTAACATGACAACTTGAGGTTCCAAGTTGGCCTGAAAGTGTATTTCCAAAGCATGAAAATGCCTTAAACTCACTCACTGTTTACTTCAGATACTACTAAGAGAATCATCTGGAAAATTTCAAATATTTGTCCTTAGCTAATGAATATGTTAGAGAATGTCCTTACCTGTAAACTATTAATAGACCATGTAATCCTAGCTGTGTGGTTAACAGTTATTCATGGCTTAGAGTTCAGGTAATTAAGCTCATGTACTAAAAATTAATGTCCCAGGGTTTTTTCCTTTCATTTCTTATAAATACCTGTGACATTTTTCTTTATAAAAATAATTTTCTACTTACATGATGGCATTTTAATTGCTGCTTTCTTATGATGAATACTGATTATTTCAGAACAAGTGGAAGGCAAAGATAGATCTGTGCTCAGTATTACACGCTTTCTCAATGAAGCCAAAGCATTGGGATGAACAGTAAGAACCCAGAGTCAAACCACATTAAGCTCATGTTGAACTGAGGGAGAATTTTTATTTCAGAATTTCCTCCTCTATGTCTGATTGAGAAAAATTATGAATAGTTAATATGTCTTTTTAGCCTCCACGAAAGAAGAAATAGGAGTAACTAGAAAAACCATTGCGATTGCGTGTTAGCACTGTTACTTAAGGATGCATTCCTGCAAAAGAATTATGGCATTTGGGGAGCTTTATCCATTTTCTTAATAAAGAATGTCAAAAACATGAGTCATGAGAGACTTAATTTTGACCCTCTAGGTTTTAGTAAGGAAATGTTGACATTAAGGCCACCTTAACTTGCCAGTCCGTGTTTTACGGGTGAACCGTCACTGGGGACACCAGTCCTCTGTAGTGTTCATGGCACGGAGTTAGAAGAATGGGGGAGAGACGTCTGGGACACACTGCTCAGTGTGCGCATGTGTCGTCACAGGGAAATCGCTGAACTTCACTTCTTCTAACTCATCCATCATTTCCTGCCCTAATGAAAATACACTAATGAAAATACACAGTGATACACGTGACTAAAATACTGTCAGAACTCCCTGTGAGGGAGGCACAGGCTTTCCTGGGTACAGGCCAGGGCTTCTGATGCCCCTCACTGTGCCAGCACATGGCCACGAGCTCCCGAGTTGTGCTTCAGGCAGCACTGGATTTGGACCTGTCGCCTGCTTCCTTGTGAGAACATTTCCCTCTCCTTTAGCTAGAATGAAATGCGAAACAAACCAGAGAGCTGCTGATGTCCTTTATGGGGTGAGGAAGACACTAACAGGAAACAGTGAGTCAGACATAGCAGAATGAGCAATTTCTGAATTCTGAGCTATCAAAAGTGTCTTTTAATGACTAAAAAAGATACTCAAAGCTGCTTCCAAAGAGTGTCTCCTAATCTTTTCATGTGATAGCTTTTGGAGTGACGCTACACATCCTGCCTTCCCCTGCCTCTGTGCCTCCCTGCAGCTGATGTGACTCTTTCTGAGTATATTAACAAACAACTTGTTCCCCTGAGAACATTAGCAGACAGTGTATATACACTCCATCTCCAGCAATGCAGTATTTTTTAGATTTGGAGCTTGTTTTTGTTTTTTACATCTCAAAATGTAAAAAAATAAAATGTTTATGAAACATTTTTCATCTATATTGGAAGAGATAAACTGATAAGTTGTCTTTGCTGCTGAGATTAGTTCTAGTTAATGAAAATACACTATTTGAGTTAAAATGCATAGACTCAAGTTCTTACTACTTGGCTCCAGGTAAAGGTAAGCTGTAGGATCATATTCACTCAGCACCTGCTGGGCACCCACCACATACTAGATGATTTGAGGTACCAGAGACAGAGCTGAGAACAGCACCCAGAAACAACTCCCCCAAGAGATTACCTAGAGATGAGAGCCAGCCGGAAGACTATGACTAAAAAGGAAGGAGCACACTGCCAGGTATGGCGCTCGGTGCTCGGAAGGAAACTAAAGCAGAGCAGTGCCGCAGGTGGTCAGGACGTGGTGTCTGCGTCCTGCTGTTTGTGGGCAGTGTGACCAGAGCAGGTGTCCCTCGAGGGCTGACACCCAGCATAAAACTGAAGGAAAAGAGTGGCCCTTGCAGAGTCCATGTGAGGGGTGTCCGGGAGCAAAGGTGCTGAAAGGGGGCGGGTCTGGGTAGTTCTGTGTCAGCTTGGCACAAGCCAGAGTCTCCTGAGAGGTGAGAACCTCAGTTAAGAACATGCCTCCAGCCAGGCAGTGGTGGCACACGCCTTTATCCCAGCACTCTTCAAGGCCAGCCTGGGCTACAGAGCGAGATCCAGGAAAGCCAGGGCTATTAGACAGAGAAACCCTTTCTCTGGGGATGGGGGGAAGAGAAGAAGAAAATACCTCCATATGATTAGGCTGCGGACAAGTATGTAGGATATTCTTAATTATTGATCAATGGGGAAGGGCCCAGCCTGTGGTTGGTGATGCCATCCCTGGGCTTGTGGTCCTGGGTTCTATAAGAAAGCAGGTTGAGCAAGCTAAGCCAGTAGGCAGCACCCATCTGTGGCCTCTGCTTCAGCTCCTGCCTCCAGGTTCCTGCCCTGCTTGAGTTCCTGTTCTGACTTCCTTCAGTGATGGACTGTGACATGGAAGTGTAAGCTGAACAAACCCTTTCCTCCCTGACTTGTTTTTGGTCATGGTGCTTCTCCGCAGCAACAGGAACCCTGACTATGACAGGGAGACATGTCATCTTACTGTAACAGTAAAAAAAGCAGTGTGGCTGCAACAGAGTGAGTGAAGGACACTGTACATGAGGAGTGGAGACCAAAGAGTCGGGGCCCCGATTTGGGGAGGTCACAGATGCAGGGAAAGACTTCAGTTGTCAGGGAAGCCATGGATGACTAAAAGCATGAGAAGCCAAGGTGAAGCCTAACATCCCAGTCACCTATGCAGAAAGTAGATAATGCGACAGTGCAGACTGGACGGTTAGTGCTGGAGCAGAGTCAGGTGTGACTGTCTCCCAGGTTGTGCTTTTTCAGCATGTGATGCATGATTAGATTCGCAGTTAATGAGGAAGAAGTAAGAATAACTCCTAAGTTGTTTCCTGAACAACTGGTAAATGATCGCAAGATTAGACATAAGGACGACAGTAAAGTGGCTTTGATTTAGAAACAGAAAACTAAAGGTGTACATTAACATCCAAGTACGGCGCTTGCATTGCTTTTTGTTTCAGTGAAAGGGTAAGGGAAAGTCAGCCATTGAGAGGAGAAGGAGAGTGTATTGGAGTTTTAAAAAGACAAGACAGCCCGGCGGTGGTGGTGCACGCCTTTAATCCCAGCACTCGGGAGGCAGAGGCAGGCGGATCTCTGTGAGTTCAAGGCCAGCCTGGGGTACAGAGTGAGTTCCAGGAAAGGCGCAAAGCTACACAGAGAAACCCTGTCTTAATAATAATAATAATAATAATAATAATAATAATAATAATAATAATAATAATAATAAAATAACAGAGAAACCCTGTCTCAATAATAAATAAATAAATAAATAAATAAACAAATAAATAAATAAATAAATAAATAAATAAGACAAGACAGGCAATGCTGAAGGATTCCAGGGAGCAGTGGACCAGGCAGCCTGGCTCTACAGTTGGATGGGTGATGAGGTCATATACAGAGGCATGATTACACTGACGATGGACTTAGGTCCAAACAAGGTCGGGCAAGAGGAGAGGAGTCACAGAAATGACCGTGCTGGGAGCCAGTAAGAGTCAGTGAGCTGTCTGAGCAAGGAGAGCAGAGCACAGGAGACAAAACAAGATGATTTAAATACGGGAGACCAGAAGCAGGGATTTGGGCTACATGGTTGCCTGCTGAGGACGAGGGGGTCAGAATGTCGGAAGACGTCCAGGATCCATGTGTCATAGCAATGAGTGGTGACAAGAGCCGTGGTAGGAAGAAACAGAGAACAAAGCCGAGCAGACACTCAAACCCTCGATTAATGCCGGGGAGTAACCAGTCGAATGATGAGTGCCCAGAACACAGCAGCCAGCAGCTGTCATTCTGTCTCACGTACTTAGGGGAGCTGGTCTGTTTGAGAAGGAGTCCATGGGTCTGGAAGCTGAAGTAAGAACTAAGCAGAGGGGTTGAGGAGACGGCTCAGAGGGCAAGGCATCTGCAGTGCAGGCACAGGGACCTGAGTTTGAGCCCAAGAACCTCTAACAAGCCAGGTGTGGCACGTGCTTGGATCTCAGCTCTGGAGAGGCAGAGACAGGTGGATCCATAGGGCTCACTGGTCAGCTAGTCTTGATAAATCAGCCAAGCCTAGGTCCTGTTGAGAGACCTTGGCTCAAAAAACAAGATGGGCAGCTCCTAAGGAACAATACCTAAGGTTGACCTTTGACCTAAACCCACATGTACTCACACATGGAAAGACACACAAGAACTAAGCAGAATTTCATTGACCTTCAAGGCATAGGTCCATGGGAATAAAATAGCCCATCTGAGAGAACCACAGGGGAAGCAATTCTTCAGGGGATGCTGGAGTGTTCCTAGAGGGGTCGAGGTACAGGTCTACCCTGTGGGACAGCATTGTAGCAATACATGAAAATACATCAAACCGGGATGTAGACTGGAATGCCACTAATGGAGAGCACTCTGACCCCAGACGCAGAGGACTTCCTCAGATCGCATCCTGTTCCCCAAGGCTCTGGTCACCAGCGGAGTGTCTCGGTTTCTGTTCTTCCTGCAGACTAGCCATTAATCAGGGTCCCTCCAGCCTTCCCGGTCTGATGCTCAGCTAAAGTGGAGTAGGGGCTTTTATGGAAGCTTCATTCCATGAACATGACTGCTTATTAGCTCTGTCTCCAGTCAAGTGTGGGTTTGAAAGTTCTAGGAAGGCTTCTCTTTCTGGGTCAGCCCTACTCTAGAAACTACGGACCTTTCTTCACCACAACAATGGAGTACCATATTTTCCAGAAAATGCCAAGGAGTTTAAGAGCTCTGTATCAGGAACAAGAGCCTCAGTCTGGAAACCTTCAGTGTTTGTTTTCCTTTCTTCTTAAGGAGATGTGACAGGAACAAGATTCAAAGACCAAATACTAGAACAAAGATTCTCTGATCACCCTTTCTATCAGGAAATTACAAAAAATCACAATAATTTTAGCAGGAATGGAACATATAGCTATATATATATTTTTTATAAGAGATTTTATACACCATTTCTCTCACTGTGCCACACCATGGGATGCCAACTCAGGTTCGTTCCTAAGCGCTTCCATTAGGTAGTGCAGAAGTACCTCTAACTCCAGTCTGAGGAAAGCTAGCACTCGTGGCCCCACAGACACTTGCACACGTGTGGTGTACGTAGACTCACACAAGCACACAAATGTATACATTAATTAAAAATAATAAGCCTTTGGAAACTAGTGAATATTTACGTTCATGATACTTTACTTGACATGGAGTTTCCTACATTAGCCTTGAAATGTGCTTCCTCAGCAGCCTTTATTTTTCTTCTCTTTCCTCTGTAGTAGACAATATGAAACATCCCTTGACGGCAACTTCATCAATCAGGAGATGATGCTAAAGCGACAAGAAGAGGAAATGATGCAGTTGCAAGCCAGGATGGCTCTCCGACAGTCTCGGTTGAGCCTGTATCCAGGGGACACGATCAAAGCTTCCATGCTTGACATCTCGAGAGATCCACTAAGAGAAATTGCCCTGGAGACAGCCATGACCCAGAGAAAACTGAGGGTAAGGCGGGTCCCAGGCCAGGTCCAGATTTGCTCTTTGAGGACTATTAGCCAGAGCACTTTGAAAACACGAGTTAGGTTTTCCTCAGTGGTGTAGTCACACATAAGCTGTCCATGATGTCAGTAACGTCTCACACACGCTGCTGTGGGTCACAAAGAACAGATTCCTTTAAAAAGATCTGAAAGGAGAAGGAATGCTAGTTCAGACAAGAAGGGGGTTGGGGGAGGGGACAAGACGGGGTGATAGGATGTGCTTATGGCCAAAATATGTTACATATGTGCATGGACGTCATGACGAAACCCATTGTCGTTTATAATTCATATATGCTAATAGAAAGTTGCTGTAGATATCCTAAAGATACAGATACCCTAAAGGTGAAATCGGGATTCTACATTAGTTCTCATTAGGATCAAGCATCTTGTCTGATATTAGAGTCAATATTTAGCTGCTTACATTATTTCATTTTCAAAATAGCATTAGGTGGATTTAGAGCGTCTTAACTGTACTTTTGTGACTTACATGTATGCCTACGCATGGTGGTACACGTCTATAATCTCTACACTCAAGAGACGGAGGCAGAAGTCTTTGAGATTTACCTCATGTATGTTTGTAATGGATGACATAATAATTCCATGGCCAACCTGGGCTACATAGCAAGGTCATAGAAAATGTACGTGTATTTCCAGGCATGGTTTCATGTCTTGGTGGTCTCGCCACTCGGGAGGTTGAAGCCAAGTCGTTGTCTAGCTGTGTGAAACCAGTATGGGCAGCATAGCAAACCTGGGAGAAATATTTTTAAAAGACGAAAACATGAATAACATATGCATCATCCTTGGGAACAACTGGTTTTATTCAATATAGCAGGGAGTTACTTTTTAATAGTAAGAAATTCACTAGCCCATAAATCGAGATGAACTACAGAGTTCAAGGTTAGTTCAAAAGTACACGAATGTTTTTAAGTACATTTCATCTCTCTGCTCAGCCATTCTCAGAATGTTGGCATTGATTGCCTTTTTGGTAAAATTCTATCATCATCATCATCATCATCATCATCGTCATCATTTTATGTATGAGTGTTTTACTTGCATATATGTCTGTGCACTGCACGTAAGCCTGGTGCCTGCAGAGGATAAAATAGCACATCGAATCTGGAGCTCAAGGTTATGTGAGTTCAGGGAACTGAGCTGCAGTCCTCCCAAAGAGCAGCCTGAGCTCCTGACTGCTGAGCTGCCTCTCCAGCCTGACTGAGATTCTCCTTATAGTCTAGAAGATTGTGTTAACTTCAGACCTTGGGTCCTCCCAATGCAGTATTCAAGGATATGACTATGCATCTCACAGTTTGAAGCAGGAGGGGATGGCTTTTCTATTTGTAACATTTTTCTTTAACCACTAGACCTTTAATATATTTTTATAAACATACTTTGAACTTGAAAACATTTCAGATTTTTTATATGTGGAATTAATTTCTAAGACACTGTACAATTCCAAAGTTTTTAGATTGACAGTGAAATACAACTAAATGTATTGTAAGTTAAATGGAAGAAATTTAATGAAATTTTACCAGTTAATTATTCTAACCAAATGTGTCAAATGAAGTGGTAAGCCGGATGTCAAACAATATGCTTTGGGCTTCACATGTGACAATTCTGTACAAGCATGAAGGGCACACACATGTACAGACCTTCTTCATAAGCCTTAGCTTCAGACCCCACATGAATGTGTACACACAGAGTGGTGCATATACCCTAAAGACTTGGTGTAAAGCGTTCTCCATTCCTGTTCTAACCAAACCCAGTGTACTCACTGAGTTTCTGCATTTGTTAGGTAGCACCTCATTCTAATGTGTGCTTTTTTATTCTTGCACTATTTTCCTTTTAAAGAAAGATCTAGAGGATAAATAGTAAAAATAATTTATTCTGTTTATGTGACTTGCAGAATTTCTTTGGCCCTGAGTTTGTGAAGATGACAATTGAGCCATTTATTTCTTTGGATTTGCCACGGTCTATCCTTGTAAGTAGTAAAGCTGTTTCTGTCCCTCTTAGAAAATAAGTTGAATGGTTCTCTAAAAGCAAGTCTAAATGTTACCATGCTCCCTTTAATAAATACCATCATTTTTCTCAATTGTAGAATAAGAAGGGGAAGACTGAGGACCACCGGAGAAAAGTGAACATAATGCTCCTGAGTGGGCAGAGACTCGAGCTCACCTGTGACACCAAGACCGTGTGCAAGGACGTCTTCGATATGGTCGTGGCTCATGTTGGCTTAGTGGAGCATCATTTGTTTGCTCTAGCTACCCTCAAAGGTGACTGCATGCTTTAATTCAGAGTTCAGAATAGAAAGGTGGCGTCAAGATGACCTCCGGTACCTCATCGTGCTGAGCTTCACCTGGGGAAAGAGTGATTAAATACGCCGGTCGGCGTTGAGAGACAGAAGGGAGTTAGGGACTTCCCCAGTTTCATTCATTGTGTGGGAGGCTCCTTCTGTATCTGTAGAGAGTTTTTCCACTGCTTGTGCTTGAATAATAAACAACTCCTTCTGCAGACTCACCCATTAAGTATGCAACTAGTACTTCTTCCATCCCGGTTTACAATTAAGCAAGTGGCCCCAGGGGTGGAAAAAGCTAGTACCTAGTCTAGGACTTACTCACCCCCCCCCCCTCTGGACTAACCAGGTAATATTGTCTATTTTGAGACAGAATTTCTATTTATTTCTTACACATTCTGCACACGTCACATTTGTGGAATAACTATTCTATTAGCAGACAATGGCTAATATTTATGGACACACTGTGCTCTAACACCTGCCTTCCCTCGTGTTTCATATCCATTTTGTCACTGGATTTTTACAACAACCCTATAATGCAGGAACCACCATTATCCTGATCTTTCAGACAGGAAAATTGATGTCTGGGGTGGAAAAGTAGTTTATCCACACAGGCAGTAAGCAGAGCGGCCAGGAGCCGAGTCCAGGTCTGTCTGGTTTAGCCTGGTTTGAGAGGCCCTGGTGCAGACTGAATCCAGCCGTTCGCGGTACTCAGAGCCCACTGTGCTTCTGACAGTCAGTTCAGCAGAAATGCAGACATCCGAGGAAGGAAGGCTTGGTGCTTTCTGAATGCCTTTCTCATTCTGTTTCAGAGAATGAATATTTCTTTGTTGATCCTGACTTAAAATTAACCAAAGTGGCCCCAGAGGGATGGAAAGAAGAACCAAAGAAAAAGGGCAAAGCCGCTGTTGAGTTCACTTTGTTTTTCCGGATCAAATTTTTCATGGATGATGTTAGTTTGATACAGTGAGTGCACAAGGGTTTCTTTCTTGCTCTTTCTGGCCCCACTCTGTTGACCTCTTAACCTGCTGGCACTGGACCCCTTCGTAGGGGTCCACGACAATTTCTTCTTCATTTCAAAGAAACGCAGTGCTTCCTCCTTATCCATGTTTTTGCTGTCACCGTTTCAGTTCCTGGGGCTCATTCGTGATCAGAAAATACTCTGTGGAAAATTACATCATCAGAGTTTTCATTAATTTTGTTAGGTGTAATTCCTAGTGTTTTGATGAGATCCTGTGCCACCCTTCTACACCCTGCCTATGGCATGAGTTGTCTCTTCATCCCGTGTACCCATGCCCTGCACACCTCCCGCGTGCCCGTGCCCTGCACACTGCACACCTCCAGTCTACCCATTCCATGCACACCTTCTGCCTATGAGTTGCTCAACGGCATCGTGTTATCAGACCAGCTGTGGTGGCATTGCAGTGCTTGTGTTCATGTAACCACTGCTTACTGATGGTTCCAAAGCATGAGAGTGGCGATTGGCAGCTCTGGCAGGCCAGGGGAGCTGTACAGTGCTTCTTGTGAGCAGGTGCAACTCCTTGACTTCCTAAGGGAACAAACCCCTGTGAGACTGCTAACCTCTCTGTCACCTGTGCTTAATCTCTTGCTGCACCTAACTACAAGTTAGCTTTTATCCTGTATATGTACATTTAGGAAAGTACAATGTGCAGGGTCTGGGACTTCTCATGGCTTCCAGCTTCCATACAGCATGTATTCCCTACAAAGGAAGAGCAATATCAGTATTGCCCTTAAATGATTTCTTTCTTTTTTTATTAATATTTTTATTGAAAAAAACTTACAATAAATTCCAATCACACTTTTCCCCTCCCCAGCTCATCCTAGATCTTCCCCACCAACTCAACTCCATACCCCTTTTCTCTTAAAAAAAAAAAAAAAAAGAAAGCAAACAAAAGAAACACAGATATACACACACACACACACACACACACACACACACACACACACGGAAACAGAAAGCAAAATACACAAGCAAATGACCAATAAAAAAATTCCAATCAAAGCAAAATGAGACAAAAAAAAATCTACAAAAAAATACCATTGAGTTGGTTTTGTGTTAGCCATCTACTCTGGGGCAAGGACCTACTCTGAAGTATGGTTACTATATCCATTGGAGAAAGCCAACTTTTCCTGTGCAAGCCGGTATCATTGGCAAATAGTTCCTTCGATGGTGGGAACCTGTGTCTACTCCCCCGTCTCATCGCTTGGACCCTGTCTGGTTTGAACCTGTGCAGGCCTTACACATGCTACGGTGTCTGTGAGTTCATATGTCCACCAGTCCTGTTGTGTGTGTACGACACTGTTTGCGTGGAGTCCTGCATCTTAGAATCTTTCCACCTCCTTTTCACATAGCTCCCTGAGCCTGGGTTTGCTGATAAGGGAGGGTTTGCTGATAAGACCCCATTTAGGACTGAGTGCTCCAAAGTCTCTCACTCTCTGCACATTGACCATCTGTGGGTCTCCATGTTAGTTCCCATCTACTTCGAGAAGAAGCTTCTCTGATGATGGACGAGTGAGGCACTGGCCCATCTCACAGTTCCTTGAAGGCCTTAGAAAAGCTTAATGACAATCTTAATTAGAAGTGTTGGAAACTGTGCCTATAATCAAAATCATCCCAGCATCCAACCTCAGAAGTCAAGGTGTCTGTGTGCATCTGTGTTTCCACAGACACAACCTCACGTGCCATCAGTACTACCTTCAGCTGCGGAAGGACGTTCTGGAGGAGCGGGTGCACTGTGACGATGAGACAGCCCTCCTGCTCGCGTCCTTGGCTCTCCAGGCGGAGTATGGAGATTACCAACCAGAGGTAGCACTGGTTTTGTCTTCTGAGAGCCGTTTTATAGTGGTAGTTTTGTTTCTTTTCTATATATGTTTTAGTTTGCTTTCCTTTGTTGTTAGGGAATCAACCAGGGAATGCTGGACAAGCATTTCCCACCGAGTTACATCCACAGCTTTTTTATTGTTCTTCTTATTCTTAACAAAATCATGGTTGGTGTCATGATTTTTCTTTTAAACTCCTTTGGTTCCTCGAAGTACCCTGGCTCACCACACACACCACCCCCATCCCATACTTTGACTCTGTACAATCACATAGTGTGAGGTTTATTTCTCCTTTTAAAACTGCCTTGTTTTGGAGTTTAGGACTATCTAGCTCCAAGCCCTCCTTCTCCTGTGTTCTGAGCAATAAAGAAAGAGGCTTAGTAGAGGAGATGTAGGTCAAGCATGGAGGACTCCGCCTTCCAAACAGATCCACACAAAGACAGGCTGGGAAACTGGCAGAGGTCACTGTATGGCAAACTGTGTTCAAAGCTTCATGTTCCCAAGTGGAAGAGACCTAAGAAAAAGCAGGAGACCAGAGACCACCACCTTAGCAGCACCCTTCTTACTACATTACCTCTTAGCTATCTCGACAAAAGACCCTCAAGCATCTCCTGAAACTTGCCCACCAGTCCAGTTGTTCTGCTCACCGAGGAAGAGAGCTGCATTCTGCAGAGAGAAGTAGAATCTTGTCTCTTGGCAGAGGCAAGAACTTCAAGGCAGGAGGAAGAGGCTTCACACTGATAGGCAAGTGGAGCTCTTACAACAGGGTCCTTTCTCCTAGGTCCACGGAGTGTCCTACTTTCGCCTGGAGCATTATTTGCCTGCCAGAGTGATGGAGAAGCTTGACTTGTCCTACATTAAAGAGGAGTTACCCAAATTGCATAACACCTATGCAGGCGCTTCCGAGAAGGAGACCGAGCTGGAGTTCTTAAAGGTAAGCATGCAGAGTGACCAGTAATGAGCAGTGCCATGTGCTCAAAATGAGCCAGAGTTAGAGGACACTTCTAAAGTTAGGGGGCACTGTCTGACCCTCTGCAGCCTCTGGCTGATTCCTGCCTAAAACTGTATCAGGTTAATTCTCATGTGTGAAAGAGAAAATGAGATTCAAAGAAAACATGGTATTCCAAGGTCAGTAGCACTGTGAGGGACAAAATTCTTACTTTAACCTATATCTATCCAGCTATTCATTCATGCCTTTATCCTATTCCATACTGAAAAATTAAGCTGCATCATAAAGAAGAAGATTTAACTTGATGACTGAGTAGATATGAGATGCATGTTCGTGCTCATTCTAGAACTGTTGATTCTTGTTTTTAAGACGTGAGTTAGTCCTTGTACTAGGTGATAACTAGTTCCTGTGGATGCAGAGATGCAGAGGAAATGGCTTACAGCTTGAGTTCCATCATCGGCTTCCTGTTAGCCTACAAATAAAGTGCATTTGTTACAGAAAAGAAAGAGCTAAGGAAGCTTTAGTGCAAGAAATTTCTCTATTGAGAAAAAGAAGCTTGGAGAACATTGTCATGTTGCAGCAGCCCAGGAAGAATAAACCTTCTGTTTGCTGGTCCATAGTGTAGAGAGCCAAGCTTCTCAGCTCGCAGATACCTTGGACGAAGCTCCATTCACTTGATTCACAACATCCTTGAAGTAGAATGTATGGTAAGAGAGCCAAAGTGGTTTGTTTTGTTGGAGTCACGTTTAAAGTCAAGCTGTGAGCTCAATTTTCCGTAGCCATTGTGTTCAGTACTTGCAAGAACTAAGTAGCAGCATGTATCTTTAGAGGAGGCCGTAGACTTCAGCCTCCCTAGTGCAGCCCAGGCCCTGTTCACCTCATGACAGCACTTTTCTGCCTTTTCCATCTTAGCCCTTAGGTGAGAAATGATGCAGAGTTGGGCTCTTTAAAGATGGCTTTAGGGGCTGGAGAGGTGGCTCAGAGGTTAAGAGCACTGGCTGTTCTTCCAGAGGTCATGAGTTCAACTCCCAGCAACCACATGGTGGCTCACAACCATCTGTAATGAGGTCTGGTGCCCTCTTCTGGTGTTCAGGTACATGCAAGCAAGCAGAACACTGTGTATAGATAATAAATAAATAAATCTTTAAAAAAAAAAAAAAAAAAAAAAAAAAAAAAAAAAAGATGGCTTTAGATCGATTTATTATTTTTAATATTATTTGTGTGTGCACTCATGCATGTGTGTACATGCTTTTACATGAGTGTAGGTGTCCATGGAAACAAAGGTGTCAGAGCCTCTGGAGCTGAAGTGGAGGCCATTGTGAGTCACCCATGGGTGCTGTGAATCAAACTCCAGTCTTCTCTGCAAGACAGTATGATTTTAACCACTGAGCCACCTTCCAACCCCAGCATTATAATTTTAATTTGTCTTTCCTAATTACATTTTTACTGACCACTTTCTCATGGTTTATTTTCCATTCATTGAACTTCTTTTTGATGTGTAGACATAACCCTTGAGCCTCATTCACATCTGATTGCCTCTAAATAAACTACATTTTCATTATGTATTACAGATTCCGGTCCTTTGTCAGATGCATACCTTACATTTACCTGTTCTCAGTTCATGTTTGTATTTGTATCCTGTCATTGACTTCTCATGACCAAGTCTTTGTTAGTGCCATGACTTCTTGTTACTTCTTGGAGGAAACTTGCTGATTCTTTGGATGTTTTTTGTGCCCTCCCTGAGTGCTCTCACCTGACCCCGGCATAGAAAGTTCCTCAAGTGTTAGACACTCCACTCCTGTATTAGGCCTGGCATGCATTTGGGTGTGTTTTCACATATCACATAAAGTGAGCACTGGGAATAGTCTTTTGGAATGTGGATCCCAAATGTTATAGCAGCATTGCTGAGAAGCCTGACCGCCATGCTGAGAGCACTGACCCACGTCCAGCTCCTCCCTGTACACCACTGTTTATGGAAGTACACCTTCTGTTCCAACAGGTCTGCCAGAGGCTGACGGAGTACGGAGTACATCTTCACCGGGTACACCCAGAAAAAAAGTCGCAGACAGGAATACTGCTTGGCGTGTGTTCCAAAGGTGTGCTCGTGTTTGAAGTTCACAATGGGGTGCGCACCTTGGTCCTTCGCTTTCCATGGAGGGAAACCAAAAAGATTTCCTTCTCGGTATGTTCATTTTAACTTCTTTCCTTGTATTTTTAATCGATGTAATCAATTTTAATTGTAACGTATTTACTGACTTTCTTTAGTAAACTTAGTACTGCTTAAAGCTTTTTGTCCCTTTTTGTTATAGGTGGTCTTACTGAGATTTTCTTTGTTTCTGTTTTTTCGAGGCATAGGATGCATTCCTAACTAGTTATATGCTCAGTTAACTTGAGTTAAATTACAATGAAGTTGAACTTTCTGTTATATGAAAACTTACTCTACAGCCGTAATTTCTCAGGTAGAGAAATCCCCCTAATATTTTAAGATAATGGTCTTCCTTCTGATATACCCTGTCAAGCCCAAGAGTGGATCTCCTGTAGCACCTGTTATATGAGTCCAGAGATCCAGGCACCACTGAATTTAATGAACCAGTCTCATGACTTTCTCTAATTTTAGATTTTAATGTCTAATCTATGGTAATAAAATTAGAAAAGTAATTTTTTTTTTTGTTTTTTCTCTATGTAGTCCTGGAACTCATTTTGTAGACCAGGCTGGCCTCGAACTCAGAGATCTGCCTGCCTCTGCCTCCTGAGTGCTGGGATTAAAGGCATGTCTACCATCACTACTACCACCCACCTTAGAAAAGTGATTTTTAGGAAAAGAACATGTTTAAAAAGATAGTGAACTCTAAATGCATGTTCTGATTTTGAATGTAGAATATCTGAATATTGAAGTATCATCTAACAAACCTCAGAGATGGACAAAAATATGTTTGAGCATTTATTTTCTAACAGTATATGAGGATTACTGATATTTGGGCTGACATATGTTCTCACCAAAATAAAGCTTATTAAGAATGTAAAGGTTATTGTGCCTGACAGTTATGTGGCTTGAGCCGTTTTTGGGGCCACTGGCAGTGGGAACAAGATTTATCCCTGGTGCATGAACTGGCTTTTTGGAGCCCATTCCCATGGAGGGATGCCTTGCTCAGTCTCAATACAGGGGGAAAGGCTTTGGTCCTGACTCACCTTGCTATGCTAGACTTTGTTGACTCCCCATGGGGGAGGCCATACCCTCTCTGAGGAGTGGATGGGGGCGGGGTGGGGGGGAGGGGGGAGGTGAGGTTGGAGAAGGGGGGGGGAATGTTGGTATGTAAAATGAAAAAAAAAACATAAAGGTTATGCTGGATTCTGAACAATGATTAACCTGGGCACCTCAAAGTCAGCTCTGAACCTAGGGGTTAGTTTTCTCCTGTGAAATCTGGAGGTCCACGGAGATTATCAGATAACAATTCATCCTTTCTGGAAAGCCCAAGCTACCCTCGTCTTCCCAGAAGTGTTGAAACCAGGAAATTACCTGGATTTAATTTAATTTCTTCAAGTGGAAATTTAAGTAGAGCAAGTATTTGAAGGAGACTTAGGTCAACAGTACTCTCTACCCACCTCAGCTCTCACCCGAGTTCCCTTGGGTGCGTTTCCTGTCTGTTCAACCACCCAACAGAATCAAACATTCTTCTGATTTGTCTCAAGCCAGCACATTGTCTGTGATAACACTTGTTGTAATTACTCTGGACCCACCACTCACCTCCGGCGGGCTTTTGTGCCCTGTCTCGTTTTTGCCGTTAGCTGTCTGTCCTAGGCCTTAGTGCTGGGGCGTTTTTGACAATTTGCCTTTCATGTTACTACTACTTCGGTCACTAGATCTACAGCTGTGTGTTTTAGTGTCTTTGTGAACCACCTGACAGTAGTTATGTGGACAGTTGTTAGGAAAAAAATACCCAACTACTGAAGAGTCATTAGGTGTGCCCATAGTCAAGAGTCTAGCTTGATGTTACTATATTTTAACCTTTTAGTCTACTTGATGGGTTTCCTTTTTAACAGAGTAAAATCTGGTTCAGTCCCAAAGATTCATTAGCGGCAATATCTACCTAGAATTTATCACATTTTATTATCTATTTAATTATATATTAATTTATCATATTTATTATAATTTATTTCTATCATTGCATTCTGTTTACAGTATTTGCACATTATTTTCTCATTATAAAGATCTTAAATGTAAATTTATGTAAGGAAGGTCTATTTATAAATCAATAAGGCCAGATTTTGTGAGAACAAGAGGTTTAGGTAAACACTCTTATAACTTTGGGCTCCTATTACATTTGACTTTTCTGTGCCTATGTCTGTGTTTTGAAATAAAAATAATAGAGACTAATTTGCATAATAGGTAATAGGTAGAGTACAGTCTAACTTCATTTAAGTAAGTGCCTATAATTAGCTATGGTCCCTGGCCTGTTGGATGCATCATGGACCATCTGCAAGCCTCAGAGGCCACAGGTTCTCCGAGCCCTCTTCCCTAAGATATATCTTTTAAGAAACAGCAGCCAAATAAAATTGATTTATTATTTTCCTACTTTTCTTGGATTTGGTAAAAAAAAAAAAAAAAAAAAAAGCCATCTCTAAATATAAAAGTAGTGTCTCGTTCACATCACCTGGTATCACTCCATCCACACATTTTCTTTTGTTTTTTGTTTTAATCTCCTCCTGGCTTTTTGTCTGGGATGCTGTGTGGTCACAACTGCATAGAGTAGTCTTGAGTTCCAAGAATCAGGTGATCCTCTTGCCTCATCCTACCATGTACTTGGGAATACAGGACATACTACCCCTGCCCAGCAACCTACATTTTCATTAACTTCCCCAATCACCATTCCAACCTTCATACCACCCAGATTCTCCTTAACTGAATCACAACTCTTACCATTACTGTTAATTTTTAAAATGTCTTTTACATAGTTCTTACCATTTTATTAACATTTGTAAGCATTCCCAAGTAATTTAAATTACTTTTAAAAATTATTTCAATCTGGGAGGAACATATTCGGATACACACTTCCCCGAATACAGTCTTATGTAACCCTAGATACTTTTCAAAAAGATGTATTTGTTTTTATTTTATGTGTGTGAGTGGTATGCCTGCATGAATGTCTATACCACCTGTGTGCTGTGCCTGTGGAGGCCAGAAGAGGGTGTCAGATCCCCTAGCTGGGGTTATACTAAGTACTGGGTGTTAAAACCTCGGTCCTCTGGAAAGCAGCCAGTGTTCTTAACCCATGAGCCATCACTCCAGCCCCACTCTGGGTAATTTTTTAAATTTCCCTTGATGGTGACTTAAGTACATAGAAGTTACAATTGCTGAAAGTGGCAGTTAATACTAATTTATTTACCAGATTTGTTTTGATTTAGAATTGTAGTTCCTATATTTATATTTAAATGTGGTATCAGTTAAAGGGCACTTATACCTAATAATTGAAAATATAAATATCTCTACTTACTGATAATAGGTTAGAATGTTTGGTCATATAAAAGTCCCAGGAAAACTTCCTAGTTATAGACACCTGATTTATATTACAGAAAAAGAAAATCACGTTACAGAACACGTCCGATGGAATCAAGCATGCGTTCCAGACAGACAGCAGTAAGGCATGCCAGTACCTGCTGCAGCTCTGCTCTTCCCAGCACAAGTTCCAGCTGCAGATGCGGGCGCGCCAGAGCAACCAAGATGCCCAAGACATTGGTAAGGAGGAGTGGGGCTGCATCACGTGACTCCGGGATACAGGCATGATTGTTACCACAGTTTTTTACAAGAAACTCAGAAAGTGTTTAGGATGAAAACTTACAGGGTATCTCTTTGTTAAATGTCTAAATTAAATCAGTTGTCAAATCAGCTCACTATTCACTTGGAAAACTGCACTGCAGATAAGCATAGACTTCAAAAGATGTTTAAAGGGTTTAACCAGGTTTTAGCTTATAATTATGAAATTATATTATATAAGTATTTTGACTATTTTATTTCATATGTATGTGTGTTTTGCCTGAATGTATATCTGTATATCACATGTGTGCAGGGCCCACAGAAGCCAGAAGAAGGTATCGGGTCCTCAGGAACTGTAGTTACAGATGGTTTTAAACCACCCTGTGTGCTAGGAATCAAACCTGGGTCTTATGGAAGGGCAGCTAATGCTCCTAACTGCTGAGCCATCTCTAAGATCTTAACAGTCTATATCATGTAGGCTCTAGGATATACATAGTGTACAAGAGGAAGATCTGAGCTCTGGAGAGGTAGGTGATCCTTGGCTTGGGTTTGAAGGACAAATGCTGAATAGTCTGGAGATGAGTGTGGGAAAGAACAAGCAAGCAGGAAAGCGGGGGAAGTAGTACCTCTGCAGTGAAGTCAGGCATTGGAGTGGTAGATCACCACCTGCTAGCTCATCTGGAATCATTCCTGTCTGGAAGTTATGTTAAGTAACCATAGCAACCAGGACAATGAGTTTTCAGCTGCAAAAACAATCCGGTTCGGGTAGAGCTCTCTCAATCAGAGCTGAAATAGTTAAAGCTAATTCTGCACAACCACATGTTGAGATTAAAGTGATTTGAAATCACTTCTTTCTGGTAAATCCCTACAGACCTAAGTGGATCACTCTGAAATATGGGAGTGAAAGTTTAGCATACTCCGGTGACCCATGTTTCTGAATTCTTTTCTGGGACTTTCATTCTGAAATGTTATAGAAAGTTTTTCCTCTAGCGTGGACTGGGGGATGGCAAACTGTAAGAAGATGTTTGTCACCCCTCAGGATCTAAGTGGAGGCCATGTGTTCCCCTAACATAAGGTTCTAGGAGCTTATGTGAACCTACAGAATCACAGTCTTTGGAAGTTGCATCCCTAGAATCGACATTTTCACTGAATTTCTTCATATATAAGTTTTAAAATATGGTAGATTTGGCTATTATCACATTACCTTTTATTTTCCTACTTTGCTTTGCTAAAAATTGTACAGGATTCTACATTTTTTTAAAAGTACAACAAAGTACCAAACCAATTAAAGATATCAGCATTCCTGCTTGGATCAAAGTTCAGTACAAACCAGAACTGAACAATGAGCGATCATATCATTTTATATGTGATAGAGTAGGGAGAAATCAGAAGATAAAAGTGTGAGGTTGATCCTCTCTTCAATGTTTCACATTGGATTGGGTATCCCATATCCAAATTTTAGGGACACTAGAATGTTTCTCATTCTGAAGTTTTTAAGAGTTTGGAATATCTGCAAACACATAAGGAGACGCATGTGAGGGAAGGGGACCTAAATCTAAACAGAGTCTGTGCCTCATCTTCCCCTCACACATGTGGACCTGCAGGTGATTTTACACTGTTCTTAATGTTCTGACTGAGACCTGTCAGATGAAGCCAGGCACTGAGTTTCTACTTGAAATGTCTGTTCAGCACTCAAAGTTTCAGCTCTTAGAGCATTTTGGATTTTGGATTTTCACATTAAGAGAATGTTTGATCTACAGTTATGCACAATTCTTACCTTGAGTAAAACTGCTGATATTCAAACCAGACTGTTACAGATCAGAAGGCTCAGGCATACTACAAAAGCTCTCTGTCTTAGTTCCTCCATCTGTAAAATTATTGTCGCAGTAATAATCTATATATCAAAAGGTCATTGCAAAGTACAAATTAATCCATACCTCGAGAGTACTTTAAGCGCATCTAGCAGACAGGCTTGAGGACATCGAGTTGAATGGGAATGTACTTGTCTGGTATATATGAGGTGCTGGGTTCAGTCTTCATCACTGCATTACCATTTTCTGTACCACTGGTCAGCAATAGTAGTACCGCTAATACTTGTAGTAGCAGTGGTCATATGAGCCGCAGTAGACACTACCGCTGCCCCTCGGCTGTGGGCTTCTGTACCGTCTGCCATACATCGTATATCATGCACCATTTACCTGCAGTAGTAGCATGTCGTGTACAAATGACCTTAGGGAAGAAACTGAAGTTTCAGAGTCTCCTTTTCTTTCGGCACATACTCCGTATATTTTACAAACTCAGTTCCAGACTTCAGATAGCAAGTTAGCCTTGAAGTCATGGAGAAAACACTCCAAGATGGTATTGTCTCTATACTTCCCCATATTTTATAAAACCTTCAAAGGAATTGTGTCCCACTCTGAGTTGTGTTAGAAGTAACCATGTACTTGTTTACCTGCCTGAACTAAACAAGTGAAAATTACTGGTATAATCCATAGGAGGTTGGTGGACTAACACATGTATGCTACATATTAGTACTAAAGAATGCTGATTTTCTAAAGAACCCAGAGGTCATTAAGTCCCAGTTTTCCTAATAAGGAAATAAGTTCAGAGTAGAAAGTGTCACCCCTGATTAGATGATGGTAAGAATCCAGTGGGGGGTGCAATGTTGGTCTCCTCACTTCTAGCAAGAGTTTATATATAGCTAACTCATGGGATGAAAAGAATAAATTATTTATTTAGCACATACTATTAAGTAGTAAGCACTAAGGAATAACAGAATAAATGGAGTCTATCTTCAAAAGAGCCTGCGGGAAAGTCAACACTGTGAGGAAGTAGAGAGTGCTGAGGAGACGACCAGGAGCAAACGTGGATTAGAAGGAGCAGCTGCAGGCGCAGGTTGTGTGTGAAGCCAGCCAGGCTGTGCGCTTCAGGCTGACTCAGAGCACCAGAGTCAGATTACAGCTCCTACTGTTTGCCCTCGCTGTTGGTGCATGCTGGGTCCACTCCAGGTGGAAGGCAGTGGAGTTGATGAGATCAGCAAATGGTTGTACTCAAAGCCGTGACCGCAAGGCAGTGAGCTGTGGATGGATTTGAAAGGGACAGTCCTTGATATGCTCAGGAGACAAAACCTACTGAACGGATCCCCCTTATTGCTGCCAATTTTGGATGTTGAGGTGTTTACTATCACTGAGTTGACTGTTTTCTTCTTAAAGAGTCCTGTCATAGTAAAAGAGAATAGAAATAATGTTTTCCACTGTAATAAAAACCCCATAGATTAAGTTTAAGAAGATTCTGGGGATTCTTGGGTACAGACAAAGATCTTGAATTCTGCTTCCGTCATAGAAAAGGACCGCTGTTTCCTGGTGATAATGAGGCATGTTAATTCAAGGTTCATTCTGATGCATGAATATTACTAATCTTCTCAGAAATAGAAGATAAGTGAGATGGAATCTAAGTTAGTAATCACAGCATTTTCTCTTTAAAAAGAAGTTCTTCCAGCTGTTTGACATACTTGTCACACTTTACACAATACGCAAATAGAGTGTACCCCTATTTTACTAGTTGCTGTGGGACCCAGAGAATGATTTGTGATATGGTTTACCTAATTCACAGACAACAAAGTCATTTGAAGCTCTGTCCTAGGTCTTGTTTGCAGGTGATACAGCGGCTTTGCTAATAGCTTCAGATGTCAAAGTACTGCAGTGATGATGGAGAATAACTCAGGCTTGACCTCTAGTAGCTCTAAATTTAACTTCTAAAAGCAGGCTTTAGGTCTTCATTTATAGTAAACAAAGTGTAAGCATAGTCAGTCCCATGCTTACAGACACAAAAAGGGAAGAAGATGGGGGTCATTCGACTGTCCCTGGCTCCAGTGCCTCATTCATTTGTAAAGTGGAGATGGGAAGGTGGAGTTGGCACAGTGGTATAATAGCATGAAAATTTGCCCTAAAGGTGTTTGGCTTATAACTGCATTATTGAGCTACAGTGAATACAGCTTACAATTGTGATGTGTTATTGTCACTGGTTTTTTGTGTATCTGCAGAGTGGTGTGATATCTTCTCAGTCTATAGTAAGCTTTTTAGAAATGCAATAGTCAAGGACTTCTCTGCTAAAGCTCTCCTCTGCAGAGCTGCCTTTTCAGACATGGCAACACATCCTGGTTTCATCAACCCTTCTCCCCACTCTTAGTTTGCCGATATTTCAGCAGAAATACTATGAGGGTTAAAAAGTTTGTTGTCAGTGTAGAAAGCCATAAGGGACTTGGGGTGTACCAGCCTAAGTCACAAACCTCACAGGATGAAAGAGAGTTAGTAGGTGAAGTAAGAAATGCTTAGGCTCAGGCTGGTGAAAGCAAAAAAGGATGGAGTGGTGTATGACAGTGGGAACCCTCTGACTCCTTTCTAAAACCCTCAGGTGCCAACTTGGGAAGCTCCCAGCTAATGCTGGCCATTGAGATCGTTAAGACCTGCATGCTGTATTTTGCCTATTAAAATAACTCTTCTCATGAAGGTACTGCAGTGTTTCCACCGTGTAAAGCAATCCTGTTTCCTTGTAGAGAGAGCTTCGTTTAGGAGCCTGAACCTGCAAGCAGAGTCCGTTAGAGGATTTAATATGGGCCGCGCGATCAGCACTGGCAGCCTGGCCAGCAGCACCCTCAACAAACTTGCCGTCCGACCCGTGTCGGTACAAGCTGAGATTCTGAAGAGGCTCTCCTGCTCAGAGCTGTCGCTTTTCCAGCCATTGCAGAACAGCTCAAAAGAGAAGAATGACAGAGCTTCATGGGAGGAAAAGCCTAGAGGGATGAGTAAATCCTATCATGACCTCAGTCAGGCCTCTCTCTATCCTCATCGGAAGCAGGTCATTAACATGGAGTCCCTACCACCAGCCTTGGCGGAGATGGTGGGAAAACCACTGTACCCGATGGCCAGATCTGACACAGACTCATTGGCAGGACTCACAAAGCTTAATAAGTAAGAGCGTGGCTGACTAACCCAAAGCAGCTCCTTGTACATTCCACATTTCATGCATTTGGTTTTGTTTAGACATTTTATTACTTTCACCATATTCTTCTTACATTGACACTTCCCCTCCTGCCTTCCTTTTCCCTCTTCAGTTCAAAGTCTGTTGCCAGTTTAACTAGAAGCCCTGAGAGGAGGAAACATGAATCAGACTCATCCACTGAAGACCCCGGTCAAGCATATGTTCTAGGTCAGCACTGCCACACTTTCCTTCCCCCCAGAGCTCCTGCTCCTAGTGAAGGGAGCAGATCCTTTTGAGCTGCCGACCTGTTGCTGTGAATTCTAATTGCTCAGACTGTGAATACTTAAAATGCCTCAAGTAGAAGTCAGTCCCTGACTGAACTTGGGACTGCTTCATGCCAGTACTGCTTAGCTTCCTCTTGGTCATGTGGCCATGGGCGTCCTAGCGAGTACCTGGGCCTTGCACACAGCTCTGCATTGCTTTCCCTGGCCGCCTTCCTATGAGCCTGTGCGAGCGGGCTCTGAGAGTGCTGTGTTTTCTTTTTGAAGGATACATTTAGGTTTCTTTTAGCTTAAAAGGATTGGAATAGCCTCCAAAACCTTTGATAACTTTGTGAAAACCTCTATGGTTGATAGATGGCAATTTTTAATTAAGTTTTTTTTTTTTTTTTTTTTTTTTTTTTTTTTTTAGATTTTACCAACTTGTTACTTGGGGCCTATTAATTACCTAGGTCTTGAAATTGTGTGATTCTGGGTGATGTGGTATACTCCTGTAATCCCAGCATGGAAGGAGACTGAGGTTATAAGATTGTGAGTTCAAGACCAGCATAGCAAGCCCCTGTCCCTATTAAAGGGGTGAATGTGAAAGTGTACCTACACGTGTGTATGTGTATGTATACCTGAACACCACCCTACGTTGAGTAGTTCTTTGCCTTGTGCATCTTAAAAGGGAAATCCAGTGAAGCCGTTGTCAAGGAGAGTAGATATTTGAGCATAGAAAATTGAGCTGTTGCTCAGCTGAAGAGAGAGGAAGAGGATCTCACCTCTTGTGTCATCAGATTCTACTGATTCCTCTCCTTAGACCACAGTTTGTCCCTAGTTACCAGGTGTTAAGACTTCGTTTTTCAGTTTGTAGTTGGATTGGGGATACATAAAATAAATGAAGTCACAGGAGAACTCTTCATTGTTTATTTATGGCAAGCAACATGACTTTGTGGATGGAGGCATTCACATCTTTCAGAGGTTATACTATCATCAGTTTTGAATCAGTGGAAAAGACTGAAGCAGATAAAATGCAAGATTATATCCCATAGGATAAACCTATATTGAAATTTAGGGTAAGAGAGACTGAGCATTGTAGGAAATGATTTTTTTTTTTTTTTTTTTTTTTTTTTTTTTTTTTTGGTTTTTTCGAGACAGGGTTTCTCTGTGTAGCTTTGCGCCTTTCCTGGAGCTCACTTGGTAGCCCAGGCTGGCCTCGAACTCACAGCGATTCGCCTGGCTCTGCCTTCCGAGTGCTGGGATTAAAGGCGTGCGCCACCACCGCCCGGCCAGGAAATGATTTTTTAAAGTATGTTTACATATAATGAGATCTCATGAGCTGTAAGATTATCCCATTTGGAAGACTTCATTCTCCATGGAAAACCTGTGATATCAAGAGAGTCATAGCTGTCCCACAGTAAAGCCTGGATAGCCTCCTATGGGTGTGGCTCATAGTCCCAGCACATGTAAGGAGGAGAAGGGTCACGAGCTTAAGGCCAGCGTTGCCTGTGTCGTACGTGTGAGGCTAGCCTAGGCTATATAGGATCAGAAATGAAATAAAACAAACCTATCAGATCTATTTATTTTCTGAATTTTTTTATTTTATCCAGTCATTGAATATTACATTTTCTTTTAACATTTGGACAAGTATTTTTGAAACTCATTTCGTTATAAACATTTCATGTTGATATATCTAACTGTCATTATCAGAAACAACACATTTGAGTTTAAATGTGTGGCCCCAAACAAGTTAATAAGCTTTATTATTTTATGCCCTTTGTGATAAGACATTTCTCTCAGTGTAAATCGAAGAAAACATTGCTGCCTTAATGTTTCATTGATTTTAGTGGAGTTTTCCGAAAAAAAATTTTACTTCTGTAGTTTCTGACCATTTTATAAAATGTCTAATAATTTAATTTATACCACAGGAATGGCTTTGCCTAGTTCTGGAAAATCTTCATCCCAAGTACCCTTTAAAGACAATGGTAGGTTTACAAAATGTTTTCCCTCATTCCATCATATTTTTTTTCTTTTCTTGTTCCTTACATAATGATCTGGGCATAAGTGTGGAGACTTCATTCCAAGCCAAGACTTCAGGCCTTGGTCACAGTTGAAGACTGGGGTGGCAGTGTGATGGGACCTGTGGTTGTGGCTGTTGCTGATGCAGGAATGAATGAGAGCTTAGGAAAGGACCCTGCTTGGAAGGCTGAGGCAGTGGCTTGGGACAGAGATAATTTCGAGGTAATATGAAGGGGATGCTTGAGCTAAGTCGTTCTGTTGTTTCTCAGATACCGAGGGACTATACTCAAGACCTCACAGGAGGATTTTCTCAAGAAGACAGTAGAGATAAGCATTTCAGATGGAGGGCACAGTCTGATTAGAGACTGGAAGCATGCAAAAATAATAGCAAGGTTGTTGGTGAGGAAGCATATGGGGTCAGCATGAAGTTGGAGCACACAGTGGGACCAGTTTTAAGTCTTTTCCTGAGTATTAGAAGACTTTATTAAATGTGCATCTTCCCAATTTAGACACTAAGAAAAAGAGCTGTAGGGAGATGGCCGACTGTGGACAGTGACTTGAGTCTATATTCAAACTGTTTATAGTTTAGATTGAAAATGTTTATCTTACTTGATCTTTCTAACAGCTTTGTGGGTAGAAAATAGGCCCATTTTATATATAATATATATATATGTATGTATTACTCTGCTCAACTCTTACCCTTAAATCCTAAAAGCTGTATTTTTTTTAGAATTCCTTTTGAACCTTCCCAACTGAACTCAATTAAAACTGTTGAGAATTAAGTGTTCAGCTAAGCAGTAGTAGTGCACACCTTTAGTCCCAGCACTTGTTAGGCATAGGCAGGTGCATGAACCTCTGTGAGTTCAAGGCTAGCATGGTCTACATAGTGAGTTCCAGGACAGCCAGAGGTACATAATAGACTGTCTCAAAAATAAATAAATAAATAAATAAAGTTCTCTTGGTCCAGAGTAACATAGCCTGGTCCTTTATCCAGTATCAATCCTAATTATCACCTTATGGCCAGTTGCTAATGCCAGGGGTAACACAGTGTTCAAGGAGAAATGAAATTCTATAGTACATACTAGAACTTGTTCAGATGTCAAGGCCATTGTGATGTCAAATGTTAATTTTCCTGTTAGTAAGATTCAGTTAAAATACCTGCAACATGATAATTAAAAATGGAAGTCCAAAGTGCCCTTAAAAACTGAGCAGACAGGAAAACTCACTAGATGCATAAGAGGTGTAAACTGAGGAATGAAAGGAACCTAAATGTTTATCTATACCAAGCCTTTTCATTCTATGGGTTGTGTGGGCCTGATAGATGATACATAACGAACTGTCTGAACTACTATGTGCTGACACAGAAATTACAGAATATACTTTCCATCATAATGGTTAGCAGATGAAATAGTGTAGCAGAGTGGGGTGTGGTGGTGCACATCTTGAATCCCAGCACATGGGAGGCAGAGGCAGGCAGATCTAGGTCCAGTCTAACCAAGGGACACAGTAAGACCCTGTCTACAAACAAACAAAGAATAGCACAACAGTTCAAAGAACTGCTTTTATACCAGTATGGTGCCACTGGCCCATTAGCCCCAAGATTTGAAGTAGGTCTCTTCCCTGGGGTAACATTACCCAAAGCATCTTCTCATTGGCTCTTCCAGTCAGTCAGCCTGAGGCTGCCTAATACAGGCTAGGGTGTAGTTTATGTCTCAAAGAATATGTTTTCCTTGCCTAGAAAGCAGTGGAAACACTATCCACTTCCTAAAATCTGTCTCAGCACAGCGTTGCCTTGTCAGAAGAAAGCCGTGCTGTTTGTAGGTAACGGAACTCATCATGAGTGTTCTCACTAAAGACTGCATAGCTCCCACAGGCACTTCTGAGAGATGAGCAGGCCCTAGTGCAAGGGCTCACACACAATCCTGTCACTGGTTCCAGGGAGACGTGACTGGGTATAGCACAGGCATGCTTACTTAAAGAACTGGAAATTTCAAGTTAAGATTCTTTACTTTTAAATAGTTGAAAAAATAAATGCTGTGTTTATAATACATGATAGTAGGAAAAGAGAACTATTTGGGGGATTTAATAAGTCCTCCTTATATTCATGCATTCGTTTGTGTTTGTTTTCATAAAGTTAAAGTAATCCAGAACTCTCTTCATAAATGATGGACACAGAGACTCGGCAGCCCTGGTCGTTGACTAGCACTGCAGATAACTTGGTTTACACAGGCACAGCATCTGTGTACAGAGAACTGAAGGGAGCCCACACTCGGCTTGTACGGATGCTGAAGTGTTAGCACCTCCACAGGTGATCCTGTGGACACCACCAAGGCTGAGCAGAGAGTGTTGAAAATGGGGTGGGGGTGGGGTGCAGCAGAGCTGCCTTCCATTTCTAATCAAGGATTCCTTCAACTCCTGCTGCACCATCTACTCGGGAGCATCCTACCTGCTTCCTTGGCGTCACCTCCTTCATGCCCAGCAGGGAGAGGCCGTCCAGGCTGTCACTCTGTAGCGCTTTCTGGGACCCCTCTATAGTCCTGACACCGTCTTTTTGAATGCAGACATTTGATTGACATATTTTCCCTTTTATTATGAATGTGGGTTTTTTTTCTGACATTATTATTAGCAGTCTGTTTTGTGCTAAAGCTAGAGCTTGGCCTCCTCACACTTGCTAGCAGGTTTCATATCCATTGCCTTGCTTTATTTCTTCAAAATGCCTAATGATGGGTGCTGATATGAAAGTTGCTCAGTAGATATTTAAAGGATAGTAGACTAACCAAAATGAATAAGTGCTGAAGTCACAGTCAAGAATCTTTGAGTAAGCAAGCTCTGATGTTTCTAATTAGGGAGATACATGTGCACGCACGCACACATACACATATGTACAAATGTACATGCATGCGCACACACACACACACACACACACACACACACACACACACACACACACACCAGATGAGTGTTATGAATAATTAATCCTGTTACCAACCTGTTAGAGGTGGAAGTGAAGAAACTACCTATCTTCTTTGAAAGAATGCTTAGTGACTCTTCACATACCTCATAAGACCATTCATAAAACTGACAAGAGGCAGGACTACTCTGTATAAACCAGGTGGACTTTTGCTTCAGAATTGTGAGAAGTTTCCATTTAAAACCTTGCAGGGTTACACGCCTTTCTATTCTTAAGCCACAGTAAACAAGAGAGTACCCTGGAAACCATCATTTCCCCCAGTCTAATTTTTATTTTATCCTGCCCATACTGCCAGGGAATTCGTTTTTCTACTAACTACATGCATTTGGACTTACCAAGTGCCATAGAATGATGAATCTCATCAGTTTCTAAATCTCCAAATTCCTATGCACCAAGAGTTTAATTCTGAAAATTGGAGGGGGCGAGGGTAGAAAGTTCAAAGCGACTCACTGTGCAATTGCTTTGCAGTATACTTTGATTAGATCTGCAGTATCTTCTTAGCACCTCAATTAAGTACTTTTTTATTTCAGCCATTACTGTGACCGTACTCTTGTTTGCTTTACTTTGTTTTGGGGTCTTGCTCTATATTGTTTTATGTTTGTTCCAACTGAAAACTAAAGCTCATTGCCCATTTTAGGAAAACGGAATAGAGGCTGCTTAGACAGTGTTGTCAAAGCTGCTCAGGAGACAGCTGGCACGTTTATCTTGGTACTGTCTGGTATACATGGATCCTCGTAGTGTTATCCAGTATTGTTCTGTGTGATGTCATCAGAAAGTTATCAGATGCCACATTGCTACCGCTGTTAGCGATGACCAATAAGTTCTAGTTGTAAAGGGACGTGTGAGCTACAGACAGGTCAATGTGTTAAGATGGCCCTTCAGACACGAGGCTAAGGTCACTGCTGACAGGAAATAATGGTTCTGGTTTCCTTGGAGTAAAAGAATTTATTTCTAGACTTTGAAGTGTCGATTTTTATTCCTTAGGCATCAGTACATTTTATGTGTGTCAATTCCTATAACATATTAACACTAATTTCAATCCATGCCTGGTCTTAGATGTCGGAACACACAGCAAAAAAGATCCGTGCTGAGAATGGTTTCGGTTATTAGAAAAATGTGTGTAGAGGTTTAAGGAATTCCTGGTTTATGTTTCAATGGAGACATAATCTCTGGGTTGTTTTGTGTGTTTGTTTGTTTACAGAAAGCATCAGTATTGAGAACAATATAGACTTAAACTTAAAGATTCAATTTATAAAACTATCTTTCTGAATGTTAAAGCTTAACACCATGCTCACCTTCATACACAGACCAGTTGACTCTGCAGTCTGTATTAACAACTCATTTGTGTGCATGCCTGTGTGTGTTTGCATGCATGTGTGTATATGTGTTTCTCTATGTGCTTGAATTTTTTAATATGCTTGACTAATGTGGCAATTAAATGTTGTAATTTATTGGTTTAATTAAGATGTTTGCAAATGATAAAAAGTAAGAAGAAATTAGAAAAAGCAAATTACATTTCAGATGTTGAAATGTATCTAGATAATTAACTTCCCTGACCTAAATGTTAAGTCATTATTCTGGAGAGTGACAGCTATAAGATGAAGAATGTTAAACTGTTTATTCCTCAACTGCAGATGATGGTGGGAAACCTTTAGAGTGTAGATGTAATAGACTGGTTGTTGCTTTAACATAAAATCCCCACAAAAGGTGGGTTTTAAAAACTAATCCAGTTTATTTTTATTACTGTTTTATTCAGGTGTTCAATAATAGTATTTTACTAATTTATAAATAATACATCAACATATTGGAGGGAATTCTTTTTTAATTTTTTTTAGAGACAGGGTTTCTCAGTATAACAGCCCTGGCTGTCCTGAAACACTCTCTGTAGACCAGGCTGGCCTTGAACTCACAGAGATCTGCCTTTGTCTGCTTCGTGAAATTTTTATTTTTTACAAATTTTATTTTTCTTTTATGTGTATGAGTATCTTACCTGCATGTATGTCAGTAAAGCACATGTATGCAGTGCCCCCAACAGCTACCACATGGGTGCTAGGAACCAAGCCCAGGTTCTCTGCAAGAGCAACACATACTTTTTGCTGTTCCAACTCTTTAGGCCCTGAGAGAACATTTTAACATGATAATTGTCTAAACGAACCGGCCTACTGTGAGGCAACAGAAAGGTGAACTCCGAACACCTGATGGTCCAGTGCTCTGCGGTGCTACCTGCCTGGCTGGCTCTGAGCAGGGCTCGAAGCATTTGTCCCCTTGAGCTGCAGAAACTCCCTTGTAGACGACTACATACTGTTTTAAGAGGGACTGTTTAGAAGGAGTGAATGTGGTGCAGTTGCTTATAAATGACAAATCACTATAAAATGCTAGTAACTGTGGTAACCTGAAGTTCTATTTTTTTTTTTTTTTTTTTTTTGGTTTTTTCGAGACAGGGTTTCTCTGTGTAGCTTTGCGCCTTTCCTGGAGCTCACTTGGTAGTCCAGGCTGGCCTCGAACTCACAGAGATC